CTGTCAGCCATGCACATCTAGTGCGGCCACAAGGAATAATTTAAATACGGACACAGCTTTTTTAAGAGAAGTTATAAGCTTCGTTCAGCCGTGAGTATGCAGAAGAAGAATGACTTGTTAGAGGGTACTCTCTGTGTGCGGGTGTCCTGGCCAAAGGCGGAATCAGAGTCACAGCATAGAGAATTAAAATTTTTTTCTCAAGAGGCAAAGATCAGCGGATAATACCTTTCAGAGTATATCTGAAACAACTCTTATACTTTTAGCACTTCACGGGAGGCCATTTGCTACTAGCAATAGTGGACAAGATCACTCTGTAGGAAATGTGACTGCTATAAGCTGGAGCTTTGCTTTAGTTATTCTCTGCCTGTAGATCCGTAGATCTTTTCCCACTATTTCCTCTACAGAGGGAGACCAGTTTTGGCCTGATAGCTTCCAGGAGCTGAGCTATTAGGAACTCATCTAAATATGCAAAAACTCATAAAAAACTCTTGTAACTAGGTTAAGAGGTAAGTTGTAGAGTGATTTAAGAGCCGCATCGATATCTGAACTCGCAACTTGATTTCCATTTTTGCCGAAGAAATGGGGTAGAAAGCTACGATTTCTGGATTCTCTATTCGGGAGCAAGAAGCCCTGTGATCTAGTGATTTGGCAATCGTGATCAAATTTGTAGGATCCGATGTGTCAAGGATATGGATGACCAGTTTCTTGCATCAGAAGGTGTACATCTTATTTATTTCAAAATCGGGAAACAGGCCCCCAACTCACGTAAATCATACAGAACTATTAGTTTAACTTCCTTCATATTAAAGACCGTCTAAAGACTGCTAGACTTACATACATATTAGGGATAAGCTGAGACATGCAACCCCACTACACAACACTCAGTTTGCGTATGTCCAAGGCAAATTGACAGATTCCACCCTACAGTGTTTGGTTGGTAAGGTCGAAAGGGCTCCCGATTTTGATAGCACCGCCTAGGAATCTGCCTCCGGGGCACTGACTCAACGATGCATGGATCCGTCCAATATCAGGCGGATCCGTGAGCGTGATATCCCAGCGTCCCTAGGCAAAAGCTCCTTGAATATGAGATCCATAACAGGTTGCTCACAGTGCGGCGTTCTTTCTCCTCTGTGCCTCTATAGTAAGGTGGAAAAAACGCAGCAAAAACTGTAAAATTCTGCAAGTTCTCCGACGCTATATCAAAGGAAATCTGTTTTGTAAAATAATATAAGGTCAAAATTCTGAACTAGAGTCCAGATATGTACACTGGTACACACACGGATCAAGGATGGAGGGCAGAGCAGGAGCGAGTGTCTTTGGACCTGGCACCAAACTTTCTATTGCAATACTGGGCCCATGGTATTTTAGGCCCAGGTACCAGAAATCTCAATTTGTGCCAGACGAAACTTTGAAAGGGCTTAAACGGCGCGTACCTAGTTTTATTTTCAGAAAGCCAGGCGGAAATAAAGGCCCCTTCCAATAGGACGATCACCTCCAGGTTCGTCAAGGAGTGCTTTGACACTAATCAACTCTTGTCAGCAAGGAACACGATGTTACTTTGTTGGGTGGCAGGACACTGCGGGATAGTGGGTAACAAGACCGCCAACAAATTGGCAATCCGTATTGGCGTCCGTACTTGTGGGGCCAGACCCGTTTTGCGGACCCAGTTGGTCTTTCTCGCGGCTTAAATAGAATCGTGGGTAAACTCAGAACGCGATAAGTACTGAGGAGATGTAGGAGGCGTAGACAGGTTAGGCTTTTTGGTTATATGTACTTTTGCTGGGAAAGATATACAACTTCTGAACAGAGCCGATATCAAGTTGCTTGTTGGCTATCGGACGGGTCATAGCACGGGATTGGCAAGACTAAAACTGCAACTGCTTCAGTTCTTCCACAGTCGATGCCGTTAAGGTTATGAACTCCTGTACAAAGAAAATGTTTTAACGGAGGCTAATAACATCTTGAGCCGTCAGAGTTAAAGACAATCACAGGGATACAAAAGATCTTCTAGGTCGCTAAATAAATGGTAAATAAACCTTCACCTTGGAAAAGAACCGTCGCGTCAATTGGCTTTAGATATCTTACTTTTCAGTAAAGTTTTTATAATTTCTGTGCATAAAGTCAAACAACCCACACTGCAGTTCATTAGAAAGATGCGTGTTTTAAGGTTTTATCTTTTATGTTTTAAGCCTAACAAGCTTTGAAACTTGAAGTGAATTTTATTAATTTTTAATTTATATTAACAAACCTGCGTACCCAATTGTTCGAAAGAATTTAAGAAGCTTCAGGCACTAAATTAACCTACGAAATTTATTTCTTACTTCACCTAATGAGCATTTTAGGATGAGGATCAAGAAAATGAGTTTTAATTGCAAAGAAAAATCGCGATAAATATCAAAACGAAAAACACGAATGCATTTCAACAACACTCTCGCACGAGTAGTGGTCCACCATATATATATATATATATATGTAGGTACTATATGAAGGCACAGGCGGCGTGCAACTCGCTCAAGTAATTGCAAAAAATTTTTCGTACACCAACAGGTTAGTAAGAATTATTTCTGCAAACGATTTGCCGCCAACCTTATTGCCTTCTTCATTCTGTAGTTTAATTTTATTCTCTTTCTACTCGCGCGCCACCCCAGCTTTCTGTTGCTTTAATGATATTTACTTTTTGATACGTTTATTTATATTTTTCTTTCACTAAGTGAATTTCAATCTCTTCATTTTGCCATTTTCTCATATTAAATTCAACTTTATTTACTGGTCAGCGTTCATGGTTATTGATTTATCAGCAGATAACTATATATATGTAAGTACATAGTTGCTCATATGGAGTGGTAGAGTGCAATCGAGCAGAAAAGCAGCAAAAGTAGTCTTGCGCCAATGCGTCAGAGAGGAAAAACCAAAACAAAAAAAAAAACAAAAACTACATTCATAATATAGATTTTTTACATACATACATACACACATATGTATGTACATTGAAATAAATGTAGATGGAGCTGTGTGGATTCAATAACTAAGTATGTATATGCAATGTTCAGTATATTTACAAAACTGCATGTTTTCAACTCATTTTCATTACATTTACTTGAGAAATATTTCCTTCTTTTGAAAATTTTTTTATTTAAGTATGTACAGCGAACTCATTTAGATCAAATATCATTTAAGTGTAGTTTTGGGAAATAATTAATAAAGCTGCTGCATCCGGTAAATAAATCAAAAAATTTCGGTTAATCTTGCTGTATGTATGTAAGTGTATAGGTATGTATATACATACATATGTACGCACATTTACATTGAACATCAACTTTGTAAACCACACATTCGTGCATACATACATATGTACGTAACTATTTATGCACTAACATATCTCGGGTTGCTCAAGGCTTTGGAGCAGCAAGATATAATTTGAATCTAGGTGAATTATAAATAAATATACGGTAGGTAGGTAGGTAGGCGCCGAACCATTTTCAATCTTTGACACAACTCGTCAGGAACCTGAGGTTTTTGTCCCACAAGTTGTCAAGGTCACTAAAGTAAGGATACCCCAGAAAGCGCAACTGAAACTGAAAGAAAACTGTCTTCTCCTATTCAAAGTTTATGCAACTTTTACAGCATCTATAGTAAGGAAATCTGCGCCGTTCTGCAAATTTTTCTATGTGAAAGTTGCCTATTAGAGTGCCAATTGTGTGAGATATATCCTTCCTCTTTAGAGAATATTAGCGCTTCAAGACCTTTTTCGAACCCACCTAGACTAAGTTGCCTAAAAATTCGGCAGGTCAAAGTTTACATTCATCTCTTGATCGTAAGTGGCGAAAGGCATACCAATGCGTTATTTTACCCGAAAAAAACTTTTGATTTTTATTATTTGGAGCAAGAAATACAGATGGAGAAAGATAGAATTTTGTTTTTAACAGAAAACAACCAGTTTTTTTGTCATTCAAAAAAACCCCGAAATTTAAAATACTAAGGATCCCGAGTATTCCCAAAAGTCGGAGAAAATTCTTTAAAAAATATCAATATTCTGTAAAGGTCTCCGAACCCTACCCTGAAAATAAGGTGAAAATCTTGAAAAGTTTCGAAAAAGCGAAGAAGTCAAAAGTAGAACCCGAAGAGTTCGGAAAAGCCTTAAAAAGATTCTGAACCGTCCTGAAAAAATCCCGTGGAAAGTCTCAAAAAAATTTAAATTCATACAAAAATCTCAAAAGTAAAAACCGCAGACTTCGAGAAAAGGTTATAAAAAGATTCTGAATGGACCGCAAAAAATCCCATGAAAATTTTAAAATTTTGAAAATTTTCGAAAAACAAAACAAAAAATTAGAGGTATTTCAGGATTCTATGTAATGGTATCTTCAAACAAATACGGTACCACTGAAGACTATTTTTATCAGTTGCGAGATTTTGCCTTCGCACACTTTCGTGTGTGATTCCTTACGGAATGATTTAATAGGAAGCCTTAAAGCACGTTTATTTTCCTAATATAGATTTTGCCTTGAAAAATTAAGAAGACAGAATACGCAGCTCCTCAAAATGTAAATTAGTAAAAGCTTAATTAGACTTCAATTTGCTTATAAGCCTATAAATAAATTTAAAAAAGAAGGCCATCACATAAGGACATACATACATACCTACTCATAAAGAATGAAAATAGAAAAGAAGATCGTCAAGAGCCACAAATTATTGTCTTTTCGCTAAATTAAATTACAAATTCAGCAAACTAACCAATAACACACACATATGTATGTATACAACAGCCAAACAATCTCTACACACACATTCAGGCATACTATTTTGCACTTTACTGTACACATTTGATATCTACCTCATTTATCTTGCAAGTCGAGTCGTGTACTACGATTGATGATATGAAAAAAATACTTCATTGATTTATATGGTTGCTATGGTTTGTTGTATTTTTTTGTATGTACTTATGTACCTATGCCTCCATGTACAAAATATGTCTAAATATATATTTGTTACTGTGCACTCACCTGAAACTGCGATCTGAAATGTCCTGCAATTCGTTATCTATCAATTTTAATGTTTTCAGTCTGAGTCCCTGAAATGTTTCATCGTCGACACTTTGCAAATGTGTGCGTGACATTTCAATGTAACGCACGGAACTATGTATGAATTCTGTAAGTAGAAAGAAGAGAGAGATTTTATATAAATAATAGTTAATTAACAGAGAAACTATTAATAAATTTTGGCTGAGCTTCTCCTCCAATTTCTCGGGTGCGTCTTAATAGACCTAGACTTTTACATGGCTTCCGGCAAGTTTTCTAAAAACGTTTCATTTTATTACTTAGTTTACTGTACCCATAACTTTTTAATATTAGAAATTTTGCAAGAACATTGACCATTTTTGGTTGCATACGACGTACTCCAGTTTTGCCAACAAAAAAATTTATAATTTTTTTTCCAAAATTTCAGAAAATTGGTATTCTTAAGTTTTAACGGAAACCTCTCCACCACTTTTGTAGATTAATAAAAATATTTTTGTCTTAAATATAGTTCAAACAGCAGCTAAAACTATAAAAATAAAAGTTTCTAATTTTGTACAAAATTTCATACAAATCTCATCAAATTTTTATAAAAATTGTAAACTTTTAATGCAACGTTTCAGCAAAATTTCGGGTATGCAGTTTAATAGCCCATTCAATTCTCGTCTAATAAAGTGCAAGTTTAAGCTATGTCAAAGTGCTGGTTAATTTTTGACAATTATTTTTCAATACGATATTGCGCGTTTCTCCCATATAAAAAGCATTTGTTAGTTGGAAAAAATACGCAAGATCATTAGCATAAAAATTTTCAAACACCTCCGAGAATTTGGAAAGACTTCTTGGACATTATTATACTAAAATTAAATTGTTGAACTGCATAGTCGAAATTTTCCTAAAAACATTTATTAAAAAGTTAGAAATTTTGATAAATTTTTTACAAAGCTTAAATCTTGTTGTTACTACCCACAGTTTTGGTTGCGTTTGAACTATATTTAAAAAAATATTAAAATTTTTTTAATTTATAAAATTCTATTTTTTTTATATTATTTACAAAATTCTACCACATATTTTTTTTTTAAGTGGTGGTAAGTTTTGCGTGGCTACGAGTGAAAATTAGCATAACAAAATAATAGACTTTGCTGAACTTATCCTCCAATCTAAGGAATAATTTTGCTAAAGCTACTTTCCGCTTCAATTTTAGCAAAAAAAATCACTCAGCGAAACTAAAATAAAAGTGAAATTAGTTTGACCTTTTTATTTGAGCTTCTTTAAATATTTAAGACAGATAAAAGCTTCGCACCACTAACTTTTGTTGATGTTCTTGGTTTTCCTGAAATTTATTTTTAGTATTTTTTACCAGACAACTTAAAAACTTGTTCGTCCTTATGCATCAAAAAATTTATATTTTTTATTTTAAAGAATTTTTTCCCTCATTTAATACCGATATTAATATTCAAAATTGCACCGGATTCTTAAAATATATATATATTTTTTAATTAATTAGAAGTCCTTAAAAAAAACCGGTTTTTGTATTTATGGTCACTAACTTCGCGAATATAATATTTAAATTCTAAAATTGACTGCCGCACGATGTAGCTTGTCCTCTACATCCTTTTTCTCTACCTTCATTTCCGTAAAATTTTACTTTGCTTACTACTTTCTATTCCTTAAATTTTTTTTTTAACAACTTTGTATCTCCTTTTTCCCCCATTTTCTTCCAGGTCACAAGTGAACGAAGTTTCGATCGAAGTTCAAATTGTTACCCATTTGCAGAAGAGTAGTCGCGTATATATGTATCTACTATCACACAAATTGCACGCCACTCAATAGATTTGTAAGTGTTTGCGGCAGCAGCAGCTTTTAGCCAATCATTGCTGCCGCACAGGGAATTTCAAACAAGCGCTTACTTACGACAAAAAAGCTAACACAAATAGATACAAACCAATGAGTATGCACACACACAAAAAGAAAAAAAAATCACAAATAATGGGGTCATCAGCGAGGCCATCGAGTCATCACAAATGACAATGGCAGTTCACGCTTGCTGGTAAACGGGGGCAACTGTATTGTAATGGGCACATTTCGTGAATGCAATGAAAATTGAAATAGGCAATTAAGTCGACAGTTAGGAGGCAAGCAGGCAGGAAACGATGCAATCGCGTACACAAAGCTGATACAGTTGATTTTGTTGGAAGTGCTTTTCGGAAATGGATTTCTAATTTATTTAAAATTTGAAAGCGATTTCGATTGAGAGTCGCATACGTAAATGAGTTTAAAACGTCTAAGTGATTTCGATTTTGATGCGTTTTTTTCTCTACCTCTCGCTCTCAATTTCTATTTAGATTTTACTTAACTAGTACAACGTTTTTTTTTGTTTTTCATTGCTTTAATGCGCTAGATCAGATGCAATCGCAGCAGTGAAAGCAAAACGCGCAAATGTTACTCATACGCCACGTAGCCCTTTGTAGTCGTATATACATAGTTGGTAATGAGATATTTGCGCTGGGGTGGCAAAGCTTTTACAGCCAATCGTGCACAAATAACTTTCACTGTTTCAAATAAAACATGCGCTTTTGTTGCGCACAAATTCAATGACGCTATCAATATGCCATTAACGTTGGCAAGTTAATAGATTCTTAATGAGCGTTGCTTACTAACAAATGTAAGCTACAAGCTAATAAAGAGCTTAAGTAATGCCAGCAAGTAGTTTGGTTGTGTGTATTAGACAACAAATGAAATGAATAATGCAAAGTAATGTGTGTGGTTGTTTAATATGTAGTAAGTATATCGCACAAGCGGTTGGGTGGTGGGTGGTTGCAATAAGTAGTTGGGATCTAAGCGGCGCACAATAAAACAAAATGCCATGCCACTTAACTCAAGCAACCAAAGTTTAATAGGGGCTCAAGCTGGCTTTTGTAATTGCCCCGCTGTCTGTGAGCTTATGTGTATAATGCCTCGACCACTATGCCGCTTACATATATGCCCATTGTGCGAATGTCGACTTGTCTGCTTGCCTGCTCGTCCAGCTGTTTATATGCTTGCTTTTTATCACATTCTGGTAATTAACACAAGATTAACTTTCGCACACAATTAAATACGAAAGGGCGCGGCATGGTTTTGTAACTTACAAAAAATAAAACAAAAGCCTGGCACAGTTCGCAGCGTACAAAGAGAGCTGCACACTTTCAAAAAAGGAATCCGTTCAGAAAAAACCAGTTGCAAACAAGTCAGTTTGTTTTAGTTTGGAAGGAAACCATGGCACAAGGCATATCATAAGATAGTAGGCTGTTCGATTATTCGAATTTTTTCCAAACCCGGTTTTAGAATTATTCGACAAAGGCAATTTTGATAACATCGGCTCCCATTTTTTTTTTTTTTTGTAATTCGGAACAATCCGGCTAGAGCGGTTATTTTTTTTTCTAATTTCGGGTACTAAGAATTGAAAGCCACAAATAGAATAAAACTTAGTCAGAATTCGTGAAACCGATCACATAAATTTAATTTTTGGTATGCATGGAAAATGTTTCTTAATATATTAAAATAATAATATAATATGTATTATGGCGCTTACATTTTTGCCAAGTTTTTGGCCGAGCTGTTCCTTCCAATTACATTTATGTATGTTATTCTGTTTTCCCTTATCTTCATTTTTATCTTTATACTCTATCGATAACAAAATCGATAGTAACATCCGACAAAATATCGCTAACAAAAACAATAAAAATATCGCGAAAATCGATATAAAATTCGATACAAAATTCGATAGCAAAATCGATAATTACAGTGGTAGCAAAATCGATAAAAATATCGATAAAAAACGATAACAAAAATCGTTTAGCAAATCGATAAAAATATCGATAACAAAATCAATAAATATTCGAAAAAAAATCGATCACAAAATCAACAACAAAATCGATAAATAATGGACAATAGTGTCGATAAGCAAATCGATAATAATATGGATAAAAAATTCGATAAAAATATTGTTAGTAAAATCTACAACAATATCGATAACAATATCAACAAAAAGTATCGATAACAAACCGCTAAAATATTGATAACAAAATCGATAAAAATATCAATTATTATATCGATAGGTCACGAGAACCCCGAAAATTACTAAAATCCCAAAATTGTTCACAGATTGAGTCTCTGTGTCTCCATCTATTTTCTTTTCTCTATAATTACCTGTATTTTAATCTTTCTTTCTCTATCTTCATCCTTACTTTTATCAGTATCCTCATCCTCATCTTTTTCTTTATATTTATCTTTTGTTTTTACTTGTGTGTTTATACTTTTCTTTATCAACATACTCCCCTTCACTAAAGTAAAGTGTTTAAACTTACCTTGGTTTTCATTTTTGCATTTATCTTTACGCATCTCTGTTTTTGTTTTTATTATTGCCCTTGCTTTTATCCTTTTCTTTATCTATGTACATACTGCCCTTTACTTTCATTCTTGTATTGTCCTTTTGCTAAGTGTTATTCTTTAACCTTTTATTAGCAAGTTTTTGTTAAATTCATACCATATGCATACACACAAGAAGTGCTTGTTTCAGCCCCAACCATTTCCGTTGCACCATTTCCGTTGCATCATTTCCGTGTGCAATTTCCGTTGAATTTGCCAATTTACTCCCAACCAACTAACCCTCCGCTAAAGAAGTTTCACTTTAAAAACTGTTTTGATTTATTTTTTAATGTTGGGTTGAACCGGGCTTGAACCCAAGCCCTGCGACTTGGTAGCGCGCACTGCTAACCACTTATTAAATAATTTGAAGTTTTAAACAGGTGGCAACCCTCTAAAAACTGTCCAAAAATATTGTATATGTTCGAGTTAAGGATTTCTTAACAAATCAAAGAAATCAAAGATTTAGTTAACTAGCTCAGTTAAAAGACCCGGTCAATTGATCAAGTTCAGAACGAAACGACCGAACTCTAAGTTCCAGTACTCGACCATAAATACTTTCAGAGGTAAGCAGTATGAAAAACTCAGTTTTTTTTTATGGTAAGTGCCACACCCCTTTGTCTAATCGAGGCCAAAGCTATGCTATCTTTTAAGATGGTCTAAATGATAACAGTGTGCATAATTTTAGGATGATCGATTGAGTAGCTCAGACATGAAAGTTTAACAATC